TTTGTTAAAAATWAAATATACACTCAAAAATACTAAACATTTTATAATTTTAACCGATTATTATACGTAAGGCGTGTATAKGTARTATAAATAATACATATATATATTGCAGTAAAGCAGTTTATTATTATGATGATGATATATAATAATATATACATAATGTACGCGATAACGTAACAGGTGCATGTGTATTATTTGTACCTATGATGTGTTTATTAAAATAAATTGTGTTTTAGAATAATATGACGTTTGTCGGTTGTGTCGACTGTAATTTGGAACGTACAGAATAATAAATTATCAAAACTAACGTCTTAATTTTCAAGAAGGCGGCACACTTCATAAACCGTCCCCACTGCGTGAGATTTTACGACTCAAGTACGTTTTTATTACTATTTAATTTCGAAATCATGTATATATATACTATAATATGTTTATGGCGTGAGGGGCGGACGGGAGCTATGTACCTACGGTAGGAATTATTATAGTTTATAATTTATATATATACATATACAATTGAACACCCTTTCAGTTACCCCCGCCGCTCCTGTAAAAAGATTTAAGAGATTATTATTGAAATAAGATATAAAGGTTCGCGTGGGCCACTCGACGACCGGACGTCGAAACGGCTAATTCCAGTCATTTGGTTTTTTTCTGACTAATGGATATAATATGTGTTTGCGTGGACGTGTGTGCGTGTAATACACGTGTATTATGTGCATACAGGGTGATCCATATTTAAACATACTAGACACTGATTATTTTTAAAAAATATAATCGTTTTTAAAAATATTTCTCTTACATAATTTTCAGTCGTAACCAAATAACATTTTTGGAAAAAACTATAGGTATAACTATATTTTTTGATATTGTTTATCGTTATAATTTTTTTTATGTTTTCTACTCGTTTGATTTATAACAAGCATTTTTAATTTCATATTCCTAAACAGAATATTTAACCAGGCTATTGTAATCCATAAAAATTAAAATAACTCAGCATTATTTATAAGTTAAACGTACTTAAAATGTTAGGTAAGCGGGGTAATGAACCAACATTTGGGATATGGCGAGATGCCTTCTTSTACCACTCCACTCGCCTTTATTTTATTTAACTTAGATATAATTCATAAAAATACTTGTCTTAAATTCTATTTTTATACATTGAAGTACTCCAAAAAATACTTGAATTCAGATTTGGAATAAGGAATTTAAAAAATTAAAAATGATAATGATTTGTTAAAAATGAGGTTTTTACGATTTATGTAAAAAAATATTTTCATAAATGTTATTACGTTAAGAGGACGTGAGTTTTTGCATGTTAAAATATTCATAACTCGCTTT